GTGTACTTTATTGTATTAAACTGCCGAAGTCAAATAAAACCGGACATGAATAAATCGTTTTATGCTTGGTACAAGTGTGGTCATTTTCGAACTAGTTCGGCTTCAATTAGGAAATTCTAGTTGTAAACTAGTATTTATCCTGACTAGTTTGGGGTTTCACTGCAGGGTATGTATACCAAGCATGCCCAGCGATGACAATTCCCTGCTTGGAAACCGCGGACCAGTGAATCAGATTGCTAGTTCTGTATTAGATCTTTATCGCCAAAAACGAACCAGTCTATTGTAACTAGATCCCCACCAGTTAAAAACCAGCGAAATTTTGTACTTTTAAAAAACTATTTTATTTCACCAAAGGGATGCAGAGCGAACTAGATCTTAGAACTCGAGCTTAGAACTAGTTCGGAAAAGGGATGCAGCAGGGGCTTGGTTACTTTACATAGATATGTGTTTGGCGGCTTTTTGGTTCAAGTCCGTTGGCTGCTAAAGAGATAAAATGTGGTTTTGTCGAGCTCTGTTAATCTAACGTTTTTCTTAGTGAAATTAACCTTTGCATCTGCAAGCATTTGTTAATGCTTGATATAGTGACTCATTTTATCTAAAAAGTTTATTGTTGGTATCAACAAACTTATCCAAAATGCCTTGTTTTTGTGGACAAAAAGTCGAGGGCAATTGCGCAAAAGTGCAGTGTGCTAAGAGCAAAGAATTTTTTATTTGGACTGCGCCGGCGTTTTGCAGAATGACTTGGAGTTTTTGCTCAGCTCAAACAACAAATACTTTTGTAAAGAGTGTACGGACTTTCATCGGAAATCTATTCGCACTCCTCCGCCTTCTGTGAAGCTAATGAACAGTGAAATGGCCAATAATTTTTGTTTTACAAACTCAGCCGGTGTGCAGATAAGCAAATGTGACAATAACTTTTCTCAACAACAACCACATAAGTCAGCACCAACTATATCGCTAAGTGAGAATGTAAAAGTCTGATCTGCAAACTACGTTATCTAAAACTCTTT